GGAGTGAAAACCAGAGGTGAAAACCAGAGGAAGAAAACCGGGCTGGGGGGCTCGGTGGGGTTGAAAATCGAGGTTGAAAACCAGGGAGTGAAAAGCGGGGGATGAAAACCAGCGATGAAAACAGGGGCTGAAAACCGGAGAGTGAAAACCGGGGAGAAGAAGGGGGGGGGGAGATGAAAAACCAGCGATGAAAAACCGCGGCTCAAAACCCGGGCTGAAAACCGGGGCGTGCAAACCGAGGGCCGAAAACCAAAAAAAAAAAGCGGGGCCGCAAAGCGGGCAGTGAAAATCGGGGCTGAACAAACCGAAAAGCGGGGCCGGGGGTCCCGCGGGGGGGGGGTCCCGTTACCTGCCCGTTCTTCATCAGGTCGGCCCACATGCTGGTGCCGTCCCCGCCGCGCATCAGGACGTGGTAGGTGAAGAAGTAGATGCCGGGCAGGGGGCAGGTGAATTTGCCGCTCGAGGGCTCGTAGTAGTTGCCCACGTTGGTCACCACGTCGTCGAAGCGCAGCACTTCGTAGCCCTCGTGCGGCTTCCTCAGGCCGGCGTAAAAAGCGATTTTGGGGCTGTAGAAGGACGGGATGTAGCCGCCCGGCCCCGGTCCCGGAGGTCCCGGAGGGCCCGGCCGGCCCGGTTCTCCCGGAGGTCCCCGCGGTCCCGGTGGTCCCGGTGGCCCGCGGAGACCGGCGCGGCCCTTGCGGCCCGGCTCGCCCTTGGCCCCGGGCAGGAAGGGCGGCGGGGAGGCGGGGGGCAGCTCGGGGTAGGGGTCGCAGACCATGCGGCAGCTGCCCAGCATCTCGTAGTGCGCGGCCGCCTTGGAGCCGTGCACGAGCAGCGGGATGGCCACCAGCAGCACCAGCAGCATGGCCACGCCGATGGCCACGCCGGCCACCCGCTTCCTGCGGCTCAGCCGCGACGCGGCCAGCGCCAGCAGGTCCTCGTCGCCCTTGGGAGCGATGGTGGCGAGCGGCGGAGACGGCGGGAGGCCGCCCGCTGAGCCGGGAGCACCGGGGAGGGGACGGGGAGGGGACGGGAACGGGGATGGGAATGGGAATGGGGCTGGGAATGGAGACGGGAATGGGGACAGAGACAGGGATGGGGCTGGGGATGGGGACAGGAATGGGGTTGGAAAAGGGGACAGGGACAGGGATGGGGATGGGAATGGGATGGGGACAGGAACGGGGTTGGAAAAGGGGACAGGGACAGGGATGGGGCTGCTGGTGGCGGTGGGACAGGGGGCAATGGCAGTGGGGATGGGGATGGGGACAGAGCGGGGAAGGGGCTGGAGTTGGTGGGGACAGGGATGGGGACAGGGATGGGGACAGGGATGGGGACAGGGATGGGGATGGGGACAGGGACAGGCAGGGATAGCCGGAGATGGGGACAGCCGGGGATGGGAGCAGGGACAGATGGGGACAGAGACAGGGGGGACAGGGACAGGCGGGGATGGGGACAGCGCGGGGATAGCCGGGGATGGGGACAGGGACAAATGGGGATGGGGACAGGAACCGGGACGAATCGGGACTGGGACAGGCGGGGATAGCCGGGGACAG